CCCCCCCGAGTGCCGCTCTCAGGGAATCTGCCGCTCCAGGCAAACGCCTTGTTTGCCTCGCGGCAGATACGCCCCTGCACCACCCTCCCTCCATAGATCTTCACCAAAGATAGCATAACTAACAGCAGATAACAAGTGACCTTAAACTGATGTTTAAATGCTTTAGGACCGTCTAACGTAGATAAACGGCGGCGTCCAGAAGTAGAACACATTTTATATACAATATATATAAAAAAATCATGTGTCCTGATGAGTCCTGCAACATCCACTGTGGCTGCTGATGGGTTGATGGTGGCAAAAATTCTGTATAATAAAATGTTAGAAGGCCTTACACTGACTGCCAATGTGACAGAAGCATTCACACTGACCAGCAATGTACAGAGGTATATACAACGACCATCAATGTAAAGGCGGTATATACACTGACCAGCAATGTAATGGAGATATATACACTGACCAGCAATGTAACTGAGGTATATACACTGACCATCAATGTAAAGGAGGTATATACACTGACCAGCAATGTAACTGAGGTATATACACTGACCATCAATGTAAAAGAGGTATATACACTGACCAGCAATGTAACTGAGGTATATACACTGACCATCAATGTAAAGGAGGTATATACACTGACCGCCAAGGTAACAAAAGTATTCACACTGACCGTCAATGTAACAAAAGTATTCACACTGACTGCCAATGTAACTTTTTTTTAAAGTCTAATATATGTACATACACATACTTAAACATACCTTTTTCTTGCAGTCTTCAGGCTGGTTTTTCTTCATTAGCAACAATGGTGGGCGGTACTCCCTTCTTTACCATGCAGTCCAAGAGTACTGTGGTACCCTGGGTGGCCGGGCTGTGGTTTGCATATCAATTAGCTGTGATATTTACACATGAATGGATCGTGGCTTATTGATATGCAAATACCGCCGCCCATTCATATCTAAATATCTCTGCGGGTGACAGCTTCAGGGACAGTGCGAGCTTCCAGCAGGCTCCGGAGAGAGCACACAGCAGAGGGAACTGGGGGCGGGGCTATAGGAAACTGAAGCTCAGAGCCCTGTCCATACCGCTGCCCCTGTGTATGGGAGGCGGTGTTTTTCCGCCCTCCCCCACCAGCACCCTCAAGTGGCCGCTTGTGCTGCCTGTATGGTAGCGCCGGCTCTGCTCTATGGCCAAAGGTATGAGATCCGCCCAGCTGCGTGAGTGACAGCTGGCTCTGCCTATCTAGAGGCAGAGCCAGCTGTACCCGCCCCCTTCCCCGTCCGTTCTGCCGGTCAGCACTGGTGGATCGGAGGGGGGAATCCAGCCCCTCCCCTGTCACGGCAGAGAGCCGTGACAGAATCGAGAAGTGAGCGAACACCGGTATGTGTTCGCTCACCTCCCGATCTACTGAGCCGACCTGTGACAGTCTCATTGTCACAGGTCGGCTAGAACTATGAGGTGAGTGAAAAGCACTC